CAGTCAGAAGCTCTGAAGAAGGTGTCTGACAGACACCGAAACGTCAGCAAGGTGAGAATTTACCGGTTGTGTAAAAAGAAATACCTGTCTCCTAAAATTTAATAGTCCTTACCTGCGAACAGGCCGAAGCCGAGTGTGAGCAGGATCGCTTCCCTGAGCTCCACCAGCGGTCTGAAATCGCCCGTGGCAGCCGCCGTCCCGTTCCGAACCCTCTCCACCGCCTCCTCGCAGGCAGGGCCGCCTGACGCTGAGGGGTACGCTAGGCACAACACGGTCAGGGCTATCAGGGCCACTTTCACGGTCATTTTTTGGTCACGGTTGCTTGCAGCGGTGAGGCAACGCCTTCCACAATTTAGCTTACACTTTGCACAGAGATCAGTCCACAACCGTTTCCCGAAAAAAGGGTCGCGAAAATATTCCAAATTAGAGCAACAACACGGCCAGGGCGATCGGAGCCACTTTCACTGTCATTTTTTGTCACGGTCCCTTGAAGTGGTGAGGCAACGCTTTCCACAAATTAGCTTACACTTTGCGCTGAGATCAGTCCACAACCGTTTCCCGAAAAAAGGGTCGCGAAAATATTCCAAATTAGAGCAACAACACGGCCAGGGCGATCGGAGCCACTTTCACGGTCATTTTTTGGTCACGGTCCCTTGAAGTGGTGAGGCAACGCTTTTCACAAATTAACTTACACTTTGCGCTGAGATCAGTCCACAACCGTTTCTCGTGTTGGCTAACGAAACGAGTCCCGTAAATACAAATTAGATAGTCCAGAGATTGAATCGCCACCGTGTACCATGTGAGAACCCGTCAATTAACTCCAGGACTTGCATAAATGTGGAAGGATTGTTGTAAGTTTATGGAAGGGCGTGTTGTTTTCTGTTTTCATCAAACGTATACAGATCGCCGGTTGGTCACTAGGGACGAATCAAGTTACGTCTGTCATTAGCAGAAACGGTTTCTATGGTGGTAACTATGGCCACGCCCCTCTGCGGAGGGATACATGACTTGTTTGTTGTAAAACATAGTTCCGGGCATCCGTTGTTGGCTCGAATAGAAACGTCGGAGGCACGATCGTGCTGGGGAAAGGTAGCATCTTGAAGCTAGATACTAATTAACAAACAGCATTTTTCCAGCCTGGAATGTCACGTTTCATCGCTTGTAAAGACCAGAAATTTCTGTGGGTATTACACGTCAATCACTGATTGGATTTAAGAGCCTCGAATACAAAGGTAGCTACCAACAAACCAACAACATTAATGTATTTTCCACCCTTGAATGCCACATTTTATTGCTTGAACAGGCTGGCCGTATTCAGTCACTATCTAATATTTTAATATCAAACAAGAATTTCTCTTAGTATTAAACGCCAGCCAGTGATTGAATCTCGTTGGTAGCCAAATTGAATACCAAAGATAGCTAAGAACAAACCAGCAACATCCCTGCTCCCTGGCATGTCGCATTTTATTGCTTGAGTAGGCAGATTGGCTTTAGTCTCCATTTAATTAATATTAAAAATTTCAGTGAGTATTGAAAACGCCAGCCATTAATTGAATCTATTCGGTAGCCATTAATACCAAAGATAGCTACGAACAAACCAACAACATTCTTGGTCCCTGACATGTCACGTTCTGTGGCCTGTACAGGGCAGTTGTCTTCAATCACCACTTCTTGCAAAATATCAAGAGTTTTATACAATTCCAAGAGAAACCGATAAAAAGCAAAAAAAATCGACTATGACCTTCATCTTACTAAGACCTACCTACATGTATTTACTGGATATCACCAGAATGCATCTACTGGTTATTATTGCCTAGCCTAACAGACTAGTGCTCTGTTTATTCTTACTGAAACACACTGAACTCCGTCCAGCCATTTTTACATAATGTAATCCAACACCACAGGGTGTCTACAGCACCAGTTACCATGGTGACAGACGTCGGGTCCAGGTCATTGACCTTATTTGTTTACAGAAGAATAAGAAACAGAGCAAAACCAATATGTTTCCCTTTTGCCAAATGTAAATATAACGAAGGCTCAGGCAAAATCAAACAAACTGACAATCCATTAATCCAACAATGAAAACTTTATTTCGTTTAGAAACATGTAGATCGTGTGACCTTGCATACATCAAAATATGTTGTTCAAAACTTTGTATCAAGTATAACATTTTTCTTCTAACATTCCATAAATGTAGAATATTGATCAGAAGGCAGTAGGAAAAGTGTAAACGTGCATATGGAAGGCAACTTTTTCGTATCTGTTTAATCCATTACCTATATATAAAAGGCTATGCTAGAGCGCTATTTCTTCCCAAAAGATACATTATTCTGGTGATATGTTATTTTTTTCTTGAAAGGTGGATCTCGTACATAGCTTACTCCAAATCTATTTCCACCAAATGCATTTATAAGCACCTCGGTACATCAGTTATTTGGCAACAATTGTCAGTGACCATGGATTCAAAAACGCACTACAGAAAATACAATCAAGTTCAACTCCACCTAGCTATAATAGGACAACAATACAAACTTTAACAATACAAATTATCAAACATACTACTATAAAATACATGTTTAGCACCTACTGATAAACATACGAAAACATACTATAATCTAGAACTGAGGAGGTAATGTATGTATGTATGTATGTATGTATGTAAGTCCCATAGCCTTCACGGCCGTAGGGGCATCATGACAGCCAGCAGCATGTCTGGACTTGTCACGATGACTCCTCAGGCTTATAATCTTGGCGGCGCCTATCTCCTCTCCAAGATTTGGCTGATACAGACGGGGTTCGCCAGGCCTCCGTCCGGGTGAATGATGTAAATCACCATGTGGCATATACAAGGTAATATGTCTTATAATATCACTAGCTCTACGTATACATTCTTTACTCAAGTACAACTTTTTTACAATGGCTTTGAAAATATCTCCGTTACAAAATATATATTCTTCAGTTGACAAACTCTGAACATATATTATATTTTGTCTAATAACAAATGTTTTGGTGGCTGCAAAGATGTATCAAATTGTCCAGGTTGTGTCCATTTGCCAGGCAGTTACCATTTACCACCATATGGTAACTGCCTGGCAAATGGATATTGGCTAGCAAGACAAGCTACTTGACATATTTGTATCGCATGAGCTAACTCATACCTTTTAACAGTTCTTCTAGTCGTAATTTTTAACAGTTGTAGGTAGTAGTGTGTGCAGTTATTGTGTTCTATGTAGTCTTCAGAATGTATCTGACATTGTGTGCAATAGTATTAACTTTTGGATTTTTGAAATGAAATGTACATTGATTCGCAAGTCAGTAACTTGTACTTTAAGTTTACTGCGAATGATCAATGAATACTTCTTGAGGCTTGAGTCTTGCCAATTTGATACAGTAACTGTCTTTATAGCCACCAAAAGATCTGACTGGAGACTACTAAATGAATACCATATCTACCACTCGTTCAATCCTAAAAATACTTTCACTGGTAGCAAAAAGTTTTGTTGGTGTTCATGGCAATTGGACTATAAATGGTACGTTTAAGACGAGCATGATGTTTGTAGCTCTAGAAATGTCAGTAAAAAGCACTTATATAATCTATAAGACACTTTCCTCCATCTTTTTCTCAAGCATTCTTATGAATCCATCAGGGCACTCGCGTGTACAAAAATAGACTTTTGATCATAAAAGTCCCACAAAAGTTGCAGTAGATATTTTAAATTCGTATTTTTGTCACCAGTTAAACCATTCGACCACATTATACACTGTCATATCCACCTGAGTTCAGAAGTCATGTCAGAGGTCACTCCAGCTGCCTGTACATGTAGTTGAACAGCGCCGCCACCGGTCGGTCGTAGTATGGCACCCACTGCTGGTCCTGACGGTTCGGGCCGACCACTGTCCCGTCTGCTTGCATCTGGATTAGGAAAAAAATTGTAAAAAAAAAAGAAAATAATTTTGCAAATTTTGCACGACCTACACGCTGAAAATAAGGGATAACTTTGTCGCTCATTGATCAATAGCTTTGTATCATACTAATTGGTGGGTTTTCCTTTAATGCCCACTATCATGACAGTGATAATTCTGACATACTCATTTCCACCTGAGTGAAGTGAGGAAAGTCGTGTAAAGTGTCTTTCCCAGGGGCATAAGTTCGGTAACGTGACAGAGTTCGAACCCGGGACCTCATGATTCTGAGTCGAATGCTCTGTCGTTACGCCACACTTTGATGCTGTTTTTGCAGTCACCCAAAATCTGCTTGGAGATTAGTTGGGGGAGGGTACTAATATATTGTATACATCTACTCTGTATAGCACATGAATAGGTCGATTTCCTTACGAGTCTCTGACAATTGTTCTTTTCAACCTGCCCTAAAATCAGACAACGGTGGACGGTATCGGCTTCGTGTAACCTTTGACCCGCCAATGACGTCAGTACCAATGATACCAGTACAATAATAGAAATCCTATACAAACGAATAGAAATCCCATGAAAAGACGTAAAAAAAGGCCAAAGCCTAAACCTCTGCTTCGAAAGCATTACAAGCCTATGTATTTATTTTTATTTGCACATACATATAAAACAAAAACAATACAGAAAGTAAATATAATAATCGAACAAAACAGAATATGAAATAAGTAACCTATACAGAATGGATGTGCTGGAGGAGGAAAAACAGGCTTTAGGGCTTTATTCTTGTCCTCCTCCGTTTCTATTAAAAGCATGATAATAATACTAATAACAGCAATGATAAGGGTAAATAAACAACGTAAGTAAACCCATTTCCCACTCAGCCTTAGTTCTGATATTTAAAAGCACTACCAAATGAGGTTAAGGCTGCATCCGATGAGAGGCGGTTGAAGAGATTGATCGATCAATTATATATGTATGCAACAATTATGATGATAATTGTTATATTGAAATTTTTTAGTAATGGTAATATTAGTAGCCGATAATTTGCTCGTTTAATGATTTTAGCTATAATTAGTACCTTGTCTGACCTGTGACCTCAACGTGTATGTAAATTTGTAGTCATATGTGTATATTTGTACTGTGTGTGTAATGTGTAAATGAGCCCTGGAAGATTAGCTCTAACGGGCTAAAGCGTATCGTAATAAACTGAAACTGAAAAACAAAGACTAACCGGTGTACAGAGAATCAACACGCTCTCCACGATCTTGAGAACAAAGACGATCATCAGTAGATAGCCCATGTACCAGTTCTCCCACGCGTTAGGCATGTCACCGCTTTCTGCTAGGGATAAAACATTTATTAATCCTTCAATATTTCTTCAATGCATTTCTTTATC